GATCGATTTTCACTTAATTCTTTTGAGCAGTATTTAAAGTCATTATTAATCCAAATAGTACATATTTTTACACCTGTATGATAATATTTTATCATCATTTTCTTTGAATGGACTAATCAAGACTCGAGTGTAAAAGTATCACATACCTCAGCGTCTAATCCTGCACAAATCAAGTCTCCGCTCCCCAATCCAACAATGATAAGACATACAAAATATATTCCTAATTGGAAAAAAATAACAATAGTAGAATAGAATAACTGATATGTATACACATAAGTCACTAAAGAGTTTAAATATAAAAGTAAAATATGGATGCGGGTACACAGATCTATCATGACTTATGATATGATAAATGCCTTTTTTCGTAAATAAACAACCAAGAGAAAAAAAAAAAGAAAAAAAAATAAAAAATCCAAACTAACACAATCTTAATTAAAAATAAAAGTTAAGACGGCACTTCAACTCTCCAAATATAGAATACAGCCATAGTAAAAAAAATAAATAAAACGATATAACATAAAAAAAAAAAAAAAAAAAAAAAAAAAAAAAAAAAAAAAAAAAAGATAAATAATAAAATAAATAGAAAAAAAAAAAATATAAGAAAAAAATAAAAAATACTGTACAGTTAAGAATGTATAGCCTATAATAAGGAGTAGATTAAATATATTCATCACACATAGTATATTATAATAATAAGTTGATTGACAGAATTAGACGTACTCATGTAGAACAAAATAAATGTATGATTCAGAGTATTATGATAATCATTGCTCTAATATAGGAACAGTATCACAGTAGGATTATCTAAGCGAATCAAATTTTTTAGTACAGATTATTGTTCAAATACTTAACATAATTTTTGGTATTACAAAATTAGTATATTATCGTTACACTATCAATATCCATTAATAATGCTACAAGGTAGTAGTTACAGTAACTCTGTGCTTTATTGAACATATATATTACCTAAGCTTTTTTTGTAGCGCAATGTATATGCAACTATGTAAATGTGATGAGTAAATGCCTGTTAATGAGCTTGATTTATTTCATATATTCTAATATGTTTAATTACTCAAAAATGTCGATAAACAACGGGGGAATTATATCTATTCGAATATAGTAAATCTAGTAATATATACAGAATATTCGTTATTTAGCTTCCATAAAAACAAAATATACTGATTTAATAAAAACTTTATATTTATTTACTTAATCTATTCACAAGGTTCTCACTACCTATGTATTGATACACACTACAGTTAATAGTGAGGTCAAAAAACGATGTGCCGACGTCACTCTTAGTTCACCTTTTTTTTACTATTTTCAATTAGTCATTTTGTCCTTTAAATAGGATATATGGTATTACTAAATCAATATAATTTATGCGCCTAAAAGATGAGTCAATCGTAAATGGTATATGATCATTGACAATCTATTTCAATAGCAATCTTTTTTATCAAAAGATCTTATAATTTGTCTTTGGCAGCTTGATTTGAATTACTAATGCATCTTTTTGCTAATACATTTCAAGTCTAAAACACTGAGTTATTGCTAAAATAATTTGGAATTAGCATACATATGAATCGGAATTCATAATATTGCTCTTGGGAAGGTGGAAAACATTGTTAGTTAACATAACACCAACCTTGATTTTACTTTGTCAATAAAAAACCTCTAAAGTAATTATATATTTTTCAAGATGAAACTAATTAAGTGAATTAACAGTTACACTATTACCCATTGGCCGTACAAAATATTAAAGGCAACTTTCTATCTTGATAATTGTTAAAAGCTCTAAGATGCAGATCTATATATTGATATTGTCGCCCAAGTTCATTACCTTTTTAGTCTAACACTGGCATGTATGCCATAGCGAGTCTTCGAACTGCTCTAAAGAGTAATTCGTCTCAAGAGTTGAGACTTTAATAAGCCCCATCTGTCCTCTCTCATTCAAAATTACTTTACAGTGATAAGACATCCGTCATTAGAAAACTATTTGATTTTGATAACGCAATCTTCATAAGCTAAGTATACTCGAAGAATTACATCCTTTTGTGTAATTATGGTAGTATGTGTGCCTAAATTAAGATAGGCGGTTTAATTCCTTGAAAGCGTAGCGATTTCAACAATGTTTCTAAATAAAAAGCGCGCGTCTTAGTTGATCTGGTTTATAGTTCTGACTATTCCAGGTAATTTGTAGTATAGAAGAGATAGTGTACCCTATGTTACCACATCGTGTTCCTCGGCAAAAGCACTGTCGCAAGTAGTAATAAATTACACTTAAAAAGATACACCCTACATTGATAGCAGACCACAAAAGAACGCAACACTTATGTTCTCATAATGGAGAAACTTGCCAGCGTGATAGTAATAAATCATATATCAAGAAATCTCGTGGGAATTATAATAGATGTTATAATGATAACTAGCCAAGTTTTTATGTTTATTAGCAGAAATACCCTCATTCAAAGATCAAATTTAAGTAAATATTAAGCATAATATAAAATCTTTTCTATTTATTTTATGTTAAATGATCTAGATTAGACTTAAATGAATTACTTTTCTGAGAACTCCATAGGTAAAATAAAGTTCTGTTAGATATCAGTATTTTCCGAGAGTGAATATATTTTAACAATCTAAAATTTATCTCGTAAACGGAAATCCTTGTATAGATTATAGTCGCCAAGTTTCACTCAAAACAAAAGTCATTTTGTGTACATCTTTTAACACCAAGAAGTTGCTTGCAAAACTGCAAATGGACTCTTTCAATTGCACAACCTTTTTGTGAATCCCCACACTTCACTACCATAATTTAAAATAGGTGTAATCAGTTTATCAAAAAGTTTAAGCTTGTGTTTCACTGTAATATTAGTGAATTTATAGAGGTTTTTATTCATCTTAAATATAGCTTTTGAAGCTTGACCAGCTAAAGTATTTAATGCATCAGAAAAAGAACCACCAGTAGAGAAAACAATTCCTAAATAATTAAACTTATTTACAATTTCAATAGAGTTGCCACTTTAATAAAAATTTATGTTTACTGGTAAACGACCACCTTTTCTAAATATCATTACTTTTGTTTTATCAGTGTTCACAACAAGTTTCCACCTTTCACAATATTCATACAATGTATCCAAATTATTTTGCAACTCAGTTGCTGAATTAGCAAAAATGATGATATCATCTGCATACAAAATCAAAAATATTTTGAAAGTGTCAATATCAATACCATTTACTCCTTTTACATAAAATTCTGATTCCAAATCATTAAGAAACATTGAAAATAAAAAAGGTGATAGGGACTCGCCTTGCCTTACTCCAAGAGTGCATTGATAGATATCACTAAATTTATTTAAATATTTTTCCTCTTGATTTAACAGATGAATACATAGATTTAACTATATCAAGAATTTTCCCCCGCATACCTAATTGAATTAATTTAAACCATAAATTTTCTCTTACTACATAATCAAAAGCTTTAGTAAAATCAATAAAAGCACAAACTAATTGTCTACCTTAGTTGATTAAATGAGTAAGTAAACTATGTAATACAAAAATATTGTCTATAGTACTCATATTAGACCTAAAAAACCTGCCTGTGCCTCAATGTATACTGAATAATTTTCTGCCCAATCTGTCAATCTATTATTTAAAACACGTGTGAATAATTTACCCAATACACTTAACAATGTAATGCCTCTATAATTATTTTCATTATTAATACTACCTTTCTTATGTAACGGTATAACATAACCATCAGACCAAGTTGATGGGAAGTATCCAGTATCAAAACTTTTATTAAAAAGACTGTGCAAATATGGAAGTAGTACTTCTTTTCCGTGTATGAAAAATTCATTCAAAAGCATATCTGGCCCGCTACTTTTATTTATATTTAACTCTTTAATAGCTCGTTCTATATCGACTATTGTTATTTTTTCATTGTGTTCATCAAACATTATGTTAAATTCTTGATTTTCATACCTTTCCAGAAAATAGATAATATCTTCATCAGGTGTAAAATATGTACTATTTGGATTATTAATACTTTTAAAATACTGCTCAAAAGCATTAAGTGAAATGTTACTACTCTGTACCCCCGCTGAACTTGAAGTGTCATTTAAAAAAAAAACTGGCAGTTTTTTTATAAAGAAAACACCACCTGTAAGTGACCTGTAATACAAAAAGCAGCTTCCCCAGCCTAAGGGAAGTTTTGCTGCAAAGTGTGAAGCGTGATTGTTTTTGTTTTGTTGTTGGGAGTTATAATAAGCAAGAAGACTTCACAAAATAGTGATGTAAGACAAACACGTGTAAACTCTACAATGCATGCATGTAAATTTATTTTCCTAAAATCCCTAACATCACATGTTATTGAGCATGCGCAATGTGCATATATTATAAGCTAGCTTATCAGCTGATTTTACTACAGTTTTATCCTCAAGTCAAAAAGAAGACACACATTATATTGATGTTTATGACGTTATATATTTTCTGGTTACGCGAGTATCCGTTTGAAATTGAAACAGTTTAACAATACTAGCATTCGTTCATTCGTCAAAGATTGTTACAGCTTATGGATGATAAAAATTCGTTTTCTCTAGTCTAATAATACCATTTCTGTTTAAGCTGCTAGACGGTTTTAAGAAGTATCGCTACCTTTGAAACACACAGGTATCATCCCATATTTAATGGTTATAGACCATATAGTACCATAACCATAAAGATCCTGTTTCTTCAAAAACGTTCATACGATTCCCTTCACTATCAATTTTTAAAACATTCTTACTGTGGCTGAAACATGTATCTGATAATTGTGCAAAATGTTCATATCAACGTTATAAGATTCTTAAATTTCAAAACTGTTACAATGTATATTTCCTTTATATATGAAGAATGACAACATTGAAAATTATTCGATTTTTAAACGTCTTACTGCCATATTTTATCCGTTCATGAAACGTTCATACAAAATTCTGTAAACAAATATTAAACGATTGTGACGCCTAGATCCAATACACATGGAATACTTTCACAATATCAGCCCGCCAGTCTTCTTTCACTGATGAACAACAAACGTACAGTTCTTGTTCCCTGTCACAATATGATACAGCTGTTGGGAAATAAATATTTGCTGTATCTAGTCCAATAATCTTACATCTTTGTAAGCTGCTCGACAATCTCAGGACAGTGTTACTGTCTCTGTAACACACTAGTACCGTGTCATCTTCTAACAAATGAAGACCACAAGGAACTTTACATTCCGAGTCTTCATAAATACTTTTAACATTTCCTTCCCAATCAATTTTCACCACCTTGCTATTGTTTTTTAAATCCGTATCTGAAACATATAAGAACTTTTCATCATTTCTGACCGAAACTCTGACTGGTCCATAAAACAAACTAGGAAAATCAAAGACATTGAGAATATCGCCTTCATGATTAACAATAATTATTTTCTTTGATAAGTAGCAAATGACAACAAACTTATTCTGGCAATAAGCTACACCATTGCAATATTCTCTTACATCTATACGTTGATCTAATGAAAGTTCTACTTCAGTATGAGACAATAATTGGATACACTTTTCATCTCTTAAAGTCACAGCTAGTTTATTTTCTGGAATAGTTACAACATCAGCTGGTCGTGAAGACAAAATTACCTCTGTTATACCTGATTTTTTCTCAATGTCAATCATTTTGATACTGTTGTTGGCATTGTCGGCAACAATAATTTTCATAGGAGCAATCACAGCTATACCCGAGATGTGACATTGTTTCTTATCAGATTTATACTTAAGGTTAAGTGTATCATCATATTCTAAAAATAATGTTTTATCTGGAGACGGCTGTTCACCTTTCAACAATGTTCCAAATTCATTCTCGTTCTTCAGTCGATCTAAGAGGCTCTCGTTCCTTGTAAATTGGATACATTTAATTGTTGTATTTGCATCTGATACTTGCACTTCCTTATCTGTCAATATCGACAGACGTTTTTTGGCGTTTTTCATCTCAATGAAAAGCTTGTTTTGCTTGTTTTCTTCTCTTAATGCAATTAACAACGAATGTGAACACTCAAGTTCTTCAGTTATCTCTAAGCAAGCATTTAATACGGTTTCCTGTTTACATTTTGCATTTCTTACAGCTGTGTCAGCTTCTTTTAATATCTGAGTTTCAATTCTGTCCAGACATTCATTTATTTCTTTCCTGAAGGCTTTCATATCTTCAACAACTTTGGCATGACTCAGGTCTAGATTTTGCGCAGCTTTGCTAACATATTCTACATTCGATTTACATCTTTTAATCAACGATTCCATTTGTTCTAATATATCAGTCATCTCTACAGACATGTTTCCAGAAACATCAGGAATATAGTCGACGTTACACTGTTTGTGTTCCAGGGTTACACAAACATAACAAGCCACCAAATTGTGATCTCTACAATAAAATTCTAATGGTTTATCTAGGTGTTTCTCGCAAAGATCTGCCGTATCGTCCGATGTTGAAGATGCAATTGCCCGGGTCTTTGGCATGGATTCTTTGTCAATGAGGACATGATTTCGTAATGGACGTGCACGTCTGTGATGTTTGTAGCATGTTTCACATACAGTCAAAACTGTCTTATGTGACCCTACAGGGGACTTTCTTAAGAAGGTCACATAAGACAGTGAGTCTCTTAATACAGGTTTACAATAAAACATCCAAACACTATTAAAAAGTTAAATAATACTAATACAGCATATACATTTAGTGTTAATACATTTATTTATGATAAGAGCAGTATAAGTGTGTACAGTGTTAAAATTGTATACATGTAAAATGCTATTGAATATTTGATTGTAAAATTGATTATTAAAAATTAATGTTCTTATATTTAATGAAATTATTAAAATGTCATAATTATATTGTTTCTTTACCGTGTTAAAAATTTATACATGTACAATGTTATTGATATTTAAAATTCATGATTATGAAACTAATAAAATAATGTCAGAATCACATTGTGTCTTTCATTTAAGTTGTCCTATTGAAAAAATCACTTATTTTTTACTGTTTATTTTTGCTTGCAACTAGACCTCTAGTTTTGACAGATGCTACATTATACTGGCATGTCCATGATGCAATGCATAAGATTTCAGTTGTAACACCATTTCATTTGCTTGGGTCAGTGATGGAGCATTTAGCATGACAGACCCTTGAGCGTCATACATTTCTCAATTTCATCTTCACTGTCATCAGAATCTAAGTTAAGTCATTGATTTTCTCGTCACCAGTTGCATGTCTCCGACATTTAGAATTCAATGGAACATTATTTTCAAAGTCAGAAATTACTTCCTATTTACGTAAACAAAGGTTTTGGATTTGTGTTTTTCCAACAAAAAGTTTTTCTGCCACTTTATACGCCGATATTCCTTTATCCAATTTTTGTAAGGCTTCATATTTCTGTTTAAGATCTAAAACAATACGTGTTTTCTTTCTTTCCGACATTTTTTCCAATGAAACAGGAAGTAGGAACAGAGTTATCTTTCATAACAAAGTCGCTAAAAACAGTGCTTAGCCCGTTCCGGACCGTTCAAATCACGGTCGCTAGTCACGTAACACAGTGAGTCGTTTAATACAGTTCAGCTATATAGCCAAAATCGTTGGGCGGACCCAAATAGGGTCACATAAGACAGGAAGTCGCTGAATACAGTGGGTCACTATGGCAGTTTTGACTGTAGATGCTCCTGGCAGTCCTGGCAAAAACCATAAGCTGGTTCCTTTACACCATCTCTATCACACGGGATACATACTAATGTCAAGTCGTCGTGACCAAGTTTCCCGGAGACCTCCATTCATGCCTGAAAACAATATTACATCAAAATAATGTTTTACATTTTGTTTTTATTTAAAGGTCCATTATTCTTTAGAAATGTTTTAATTTTTATTTCTCAAATTTTTTTTTAATTTTGGTGTACTTTTACAGTATCCAAAAAGTTACTCATTGAACATTTACCTGAACCATTTTTTCAATCTGTTCCTTTTTGACAATATGTACAGTTATAATGAATAAGTATTTTGTATGGAAGTCAAAATTCTATGTTGTTTACATTTTGCTACTTTTATTATTTCACATTTATCGTTATTTTCTTCATGTAACAAACATCTTATAATCTCTAAAATCATTATTTTACATTATAAAATTCATGTTTGCACTTCCAAAAGAATAAAATCTTCTTTTTTTTGTTTCTGGGACAAAGTGTGCCTTTAATGCTTCGTCAGTTTTCACCCTCTATTTTTGCCGTACACATCTTATTAAGATGATTTCATCGTTTGTATTTTTATAAAATTTTGACCATCAGTTTCATCATTTAATGCTGATACTATCAACAATTTCATTATTGCATCCTTTATCTGTCTGATTAACGGGAATACAGTGTGTAAAGGGTAGGTAAAATTAAATTAAATAACTAAATGAACAAAAGGTCAATATTTTGAAATAAAATGATATTTTCATTTGGTCAGATTAAATATAATGAAAGAAGTATCAAATTTAGAAATAGAGATAGACCTTTTCTTGAATAACTAGCGGAAACTTAAGTTCCTTATATAAACGACTTCTAAAATTGCTCTAGCCAGGCCTTAAAATTAATGACATAGAATATGTATATGCGGGGGGAGGGCGCGTATGCTCCCCCGGATTAATTCACTAGAAGCGATTTTCTGGGAAAATAAATCATTTTAACTGTATAAATATTTCATATAAACGTACATTTGAACATTCATAATGTTTGCTAATTTCTTTCCTTAAAGGCCCATTACACCCAACAAATGCTTAAATTTTATTTCTCAAATTTTTTTTAATTGTTTGTGCTCTCTTATAATTTTCGAAAAGAAGGGAGCGGGGTGGGGTGGCAATTGGTACAGTTTTATTGACTTGGAATTTTGTATGAAAGTCAAAATCCTAATTTGTTTACATTTTGCTACATTCATAACAAGTATTTTCACATTTAACGATACATTGAGTCTTAAGGAGATAATGATCTAACATTATAAAAATACCTTATTGAAAGGTTTTAAAACTCATGTTACCCTTACTAAGAAAAGAAAATTATTTGGTTGGGAAGCATAATGTGCCTTTAAAGTTAAAGTTTGTTCTACTTTATTTTTATCTGTTGTCAATTTGCTTCAATATGTGTAGGTATTCTAAGGAAATTTGATAAGTAACTGGGCAAAATAAAATAAAAAATAAACAATTAAAGAACCCCCATGCTTCAAAAACAAACGCAACAAATATTCACTGCATATAAAAAACTAGCTTTTGGACACAAAGGTATTATAAACTTATGTTAACTGTATTGACAAAATTTTAAATTTAGAAATTTTATCTTTCACCTGTCGTATAGTTGAGATAAATACTGTTTGCACATCATATTATTATAAATGATAAGTCGACATGTAGATATACATTTAGGCTTTTATCTAATTATATGAAGGTGTACAAAATTCATACGTCAAGAATGATCGATATCAGTTCTACATACAACTCAAGACGCGTGCATGTATATCAATTATTAGGAGAATGTATATTTATGTTGACAGTTTTACGTATTGAGTTGTCACTTAAAGCCCAGTCTGGGGAGTTTGAATTTGGTAGTTGATCAGAGCAGTTATATACACTTATAGTATAAAAATGTAACAGTCAGTTTTGCGTTTCTTAATCATCCACTATACAACACACCCGTTTGTTTATTTACAATATACTTAAGTCACGTGACATGTTGTGAAATCTATCAATATTCATATTTATCCAAAAAGAATGTAATAAACACAACACTATTAAGTACTTATATTCATCTTGTTAACAAACGTTTGAAATATGATTTCATTGTAAGTATGATATTAATATTATTAAATGTCTTACCTTCTTATCAACAAGCAAAATATTGAACTTTGGAACGCGGAAGTTTAAAAACAAGGGGAATGCACTCTTGTTATATAAAATATTAATCTTTAATAAATTCTATGCATATAAAGTTAAGCTGATACAATTGATTGTATTCTTATGAAATATGTGTAATATTGAGCACATTTCCGTATTACAATGTTGCTCGAACTTTAAAAGAATTCCTTCTGTTACAGATTTTATTTAGTCCTACTTTAACAATAACATGACACTACACAAGGGAAACAATCGCGACAGTTAAGTAACATTCGAATATGTTGTAGTTTTGTCCCTTTGATAAATGAAAAGATAAATTAAATTGATATAAGAACGAACGCAGGTATTGTAGAAATATTTTTATTTAAAGATGACACCAGAGCTCTGCATGAATGTCTTTCCCATGGTTTTGTTTGACTAGACAATGTCGTTAGAAACTCGCAATTTCTTTCTTGATATTTAAGTAATGGCTTCGGGATAATTTATTCCAGCACTTTTAAGTGTTTAAAACTGAGTACCGATATATACCGCCGCTCATGCCGGTGCTAGTGGTTGTGAGACATGTTGCATTTATTAATTATCACACATATACAGACTCAATCAAACCGAGTCTGTAATTGTCATGTTATTTTGTTGTGGCTTATCCTTATGAGGGTTCATCCTTCTTCTTTCTTTGAACTGAAATAAAAAGGCAGCTTCATACGAAATTACTGACATTACTGTGAAGACCAATACGACCATACCAGGTTTAACTATTATGATTATTATGAAGAAAAATACAAATGTATAAAAGTCTTTTGTCAATTGAACAGGATATAAGTAAGTCGAAGCCATTAAATATCCTTAAAAATACATTTATTATATAGTTATAAATGAAAATTAATGAAATAAAATTAGTATTTCAATTTTCGTATTTTTGCTTTAAAAAATTGTATTCCACTTCACTGAAGGAATTTTCCGAATTTTTACTGGTGTTTTGCCGGATTTCTTTCTTCTAAATTCAGCCGATGCACAAAATTAAACGGTAATTCTTTCTTATCATAGGTTACAAAAGAGGAAAGGTATATCATAAACTGAACATTCAAGTTTTTCTATTAATACGGGATTTATTTTCACCTTTGGGTAAAAAATTTTCATATTTCATTTGTGGTTACTGCCACTCGTGAAATATTTATTTTCATACCACTCGATGAAAATAAATCCTGAATTTAAAACGAACGTGTCCTTCATCTGTATTTAAAACAAAGCGAAACTTTCTAGCGTTGATAGAAAATAACTCTGATGCGATCTATTACATGTATTACTATAATACTGAGTGTATTCATATATTGTATTCACTAAAATGTTAATTATTAAATACACATTCAACGGAAAACAATTGTATTGATTTGAAATGTGTTTTGGATACTTGCAACTGTCTGCTCTTAACAATACAAGCAAATAAAATTATTAAGAGATAAATTTAAAAAGTAGACAAGTGTTACTTTAATTACCATATCTTCATCGCATCCTCAAAAGTAATATTTATCATCAATGATACTGACTACTTTCAAGTACTGATAAATGTGGTTGTTTGGTACTAGAGTTATTTTGATTACTTTAAAAAATGTGTTCATAACTTGATTTCGTTTGTAATAAATAATCAGGAAACTATAGGTTAAAAGAACAAAATTATTTCAATTGCCAAGCAATCAAACATTTAGAATAAATGACAGATGCATATATTAAACAAATGCAATCAAAATTTTTGACAAAAATAACCATGTTTTAATGTGTGAT